CCACAAGCAGTACAGCTCGCTGGCTCTCATCAATCCCACGATAGAAACTACGGGGAAGTACAAGTGCGTGGTCCAGACCGATACACAGTCGGTTACAAGACAACAGTTGGTGCAGGTCGTTGATGTGCGCAACTACACGCTAAATCTGCACCACAACAGAATCCACAACGAGACGCAGCTGGAGTGCATAGTGACGAACGTGTACCCTAGGCCCACCATTACGATCCAGTAAGTTTGACACAGCGGTCCATATCCCGGCTATTTTTTCTTATTTATATGCCTTCCACAGATCCAACGACGAAGATGTGGTCAAGAGAGAGCCCCGCGTGCAAGAGGACGAGGATGGTTACTTCAATGCCACCGTCGTGGTGGCCGTCTATGACACAGACGATGATCCCGATGCCTACCAGTGCATAGTATCCTTTGAAGGCTACGCGCAGAACCTGACGGTTGCGGGGACCTCGGCGGGTTCTGCGGGTCTCAGTCACGTCGACATGAACCTGTGGCTATTCTGTTGTCTGTACTATCTGCTTTCCAAGCTGAAAGTCGTCCTATTTTAAATAAAAACGTTGTTGATATATTTATTGTTACTAAAATTATGTTTATTGAATTCTGTTTGCCATTCAACTATCTCTCTTTTTTATGGCCCTTCCGGCTTGGTAATCCATTTTGTAAATAAATACGAATACTTCACACAAACCACCGTACTCTGTGCGAACTCTGGCTTTAGAGACCTTTATAGGAATTTTATGGATTACAAATCTACAACTGTTGTTCCGCCCTTGGTCGTTTGACATTTAATGTAATAACACTGCTCGGCGGCGCACAAAATGAAGAAAAGAAGGAAACGATCGACTGAATTCCGGAAACTTTAAGAATATATCATCTGTTTATTGATATGTGGGACTCGAGTCCAGCAGCAGGCTGGAGGAGGAACAGCCGTTGAGATAGGCCTTGTGCAACTTGTTGACAAACTCCTTGTCGTTCTGTATTAGGTATGTGAAGGCCTGCACGAACTGGGTCGAGTTCAGGGGCTGCTGCACGCGATGCGGCTGCTGCTCCGGATTGCCATTGGGGGCATCAAACATGGTGGGCGGCATGAGGGCCGGCATGTTGTCGCCAGCCAACAGCCGCCGCAGGCACTTGCCGGCATCATCGTTGGCCATGAGGGCCGACGACGATGGGGCACTTGATGGGGCAACGAAGCTCTGACCAATCTTTAGCTCACTGAGCAGCGACAGAGGCGGAGCGTTCGCCTGCTGGACCTTCTGGAAGGGCGATATTCGACTCTCGGAGGTGCGCGTCAGCTCGCCGCCGGTTTCTCTGCCGCCACCCGAGTGGATCAAGGTCAGGTCCTCACCCGGCGTGGCCGCCCGCTGCTGCTTCTCCAGCTGGTCCACGGACAGCGGCTGGACGCGATGGAACTGCGACTCCACTGTGGCCTGCTTCGCCGACTCGAAGAACTTGAGAACATTGCCGGCCGTCACGTTCTCCGACGGCGTCTTCGGCTGTCCGCTCACCTGTGCGTTATACTCCTTCTGCGCCTTGCTGAGCATGTTAAATATGCTCGCGTTGTCCGGCTTGGGGTTCGGAAGCGTCGGGGCAGAGCGCGGCACCTGGCCGTTGGTGTCTCCCCTGTCCCTGTTCTTCAGCAGGCCGTTCACCAGGCTGCTGATGCGATCACACTCTTCGCTGTTGTAAAACCAGAAGCCGCGGATCCGAGAACGCTCGTTGCGGTACAAGAGGAAGGGGGGCTGCGACTGCAGCTCCAAACTGCCGGTGATGGGCTCCACGAAGGAGGTGGTGTTCAGACGGTTGTTGATGAATATGCTGTGGAACGGTTCCGCGTTGCGGTGATATATAAAGAAGGCGCCCTCCACGTCCGTCTTCTCCCATTCGTTCTGCGCCGAGTTAAAGGTGTAGAAGGCGACGTGCGAGGACGAGTCCACGATCTCCTTGGCGTAGGGATCTATCTTCTTGATGGCTGATAGGTTCATCCGCGTAATAGATTCGTCGGCCATCGTAATCGTATTTGAATCGCTGCAGCAATTATCAAGCTCTATTGCAATTATTTGTAAATTCAACAATCCCTTACGTATATATATATTTATGCACATACGCAATATTCCCGTCTGGAAATATCGATAGCTCGCAGCAATCGCTGTTTCCACTGGTCTACATTTTGCGAGCAGATGCAAGCCCATGTTTTCCGATCTACTTGATGTTTAGCTGAATAAATTTAAAACTAATAAAAATGCATTCAAGTATATATTTGCTAGTTTAAATGGAAGGAGTAATTTAATATTCAAGTGAATTTAAATGCCGATAGTTTTCCAATATTTGCCTGGACTATAAATATGCCTATCGAATAAGGCCACACTGACAGCAAACTGGCGGGAATAAATATTGATAGCAACGCGATTTATATTTGTTTATAAACTTTCTCAAAATGCAAAAGTCCATAACGTAAATATGCTTATTTATAGTGGCACGCGAGCATCAATTTAATGGGTTTTTTATTTCAGCTCCTTTTTTAAGAAGAAGTCTGATGACACAGATAGCCCGTCGCCGCCGAAAAAAATACCAAAGTAAGCTCAGATTGTTTGCAATTTCTTGCATTTGCATTGGCTATGAAAATTAATTAATGGAAATGATTTATTCAAACCCATAGAATCGATAGGAAAGCCGAGCTTCCGGATGAGCCCACCATTAAAGCCGAAAATGGGTCACCAGAAGTCAAGCCCAAGGCGGAGCGGATGTCAGTATCTCCCGAGGAGAAGACAAAAAATGCTCCAAAGAGTGTCAAGGAGGAAACGGTTGCCACCACAGACAGGAAGGTCACAACCATAGGTCTGAACTCCACCGCGAAGGATAGCAAAGTGGATGTTGAGAACTACGACCCATCTACGGACTCCTATCATCCGCTGAAACACGCCTACTGGCAGGACAAAAAGGTGTAAGTAGGAAAGGATCGACTACTCAACAAGAATCTAGCTCTCTATCCCGAACTCTTTCTGTGCAGAACTCCCTACCTGGCACTGGCCCGCACATTCCAGGTCATCGAGGAGACGAAAGGCCGGCTCAAGATGATCGACACGCTGAGCAACTTCTTCTGCTCGGTGATGCTGGTCAGCCCGAGTGACCTGGTGCCCAGTGTTTATCTCAGCATCAACCAGCTGGCTCCCGCCTACGAGGGCCTAGAGCTGGGCGTGGCCGAGACCACGCTGATGAAGGCCATCTGCAAGGCCACGGGTCGCAATTTGGCGCACATTAAGTCGCAGACGCATTTAATCGGCGATCTGGGAATTGTGGCCGAGCAGTCGCGCGTCTCGCAGCGCATGATGTTCCAGCCGGCACCGTTGAATGTGCGAGATGTGTTCAAGAAGCTGCGGGACATAGCCAAGATATCCGGCCAGTCGAAAATGGATCTCGTGTACAACATGTTTGTGGCCTGTCGCTCGTCGGAGGCGCGCTTCTTCATCCGCTCTCTGATCGGCAAGCTGAGGATCGGCATTGCTGAGCAGAGCCTGCTCACCGCCCTGGCGATTGCTTTGGTCAAAAAGAACCACATCGACGATTGTAAGGCCAGCAAGGTGCCGGATGTCTACAAGGATGAAATAGCGGAGACCACTTTACTGCTGAAAACTGCCTATAGCCAGTGCCCCAATTACGATATAATCATCCCGGCCATACTGGAGTACGACATCAAGGAGTTGCAGGAACGCTGCCCCATGCATCCGGGCATGCCGCTGCGGCCCATGCTCGCCCAGCCCACCAAGGGTGTCCATGAGGTATTCGAGAGATTCGGCGGCATGCACATCACCTGCGAGTGGAAATACGACGGCGAACGAGCCCAGATCCATCGCAACGAGAAGGGCGAGATTAGCATTTTCTCGCGCAACTCGGAGAATAACACAGCCAAGTATCCGGATCTGATTGCCAGGAGCAAGGGATTCCTCAAGGGTGAGGTGGAGTCCTACATCATAGACAGCGAAATTGTGGCCTGGGACGTGGAACGGAAGCAGATTCTGCCGTTTCAAGTGCTCAGCACGCGCAAGCGGAAGAACGTCGACATCGAGGAGATCAAGGTTCAGGTCTGCGTTTATATTTTCGATCTGCTGTACATAAATGGCAAGGCTCTGGTGACAAAGAATCTGTCGGAGCGCCGAAAACTGCTGTTGGAGCACTTCCAGGAGGTCGAGGGAGAGTGGAAATTTGCCACAGCTCTGGACACCAATGACATAGACGAAGTACAGCAGTTTCTGGAGGAGTCCGTTAAAGGTTTGTCCATGCTCAAGCCTTCAAGTTCTTGCGGGAATCATAATTTCTGCTTGTTTTTCAGGCAACTGCGAGGGTTTAATGGTGAAGACTTTGGATGAGGAAGCCACCTACGAGATAGCCAAGAGATCGCGTAATTGGCTAAAGCTGAAGAAGGATTACATCTCCAACGTGGGCGACTCTCTGGACTTGGTTGTCATTGGCGGCTACAAAGGCAAGGGCCGCAGAACAGGCACCTACGGAGGCTTTCTGCTTGCCTGCTACGACACAGAGAACGAGGAATACCAGACTATATGCAAAATTGGAACAGGTACTTGTCCATTTGCCATCCCAGAACCCTCTGGAACTCTACTTTCCTCTGTTTTAGGCTTCACCGATGAGGATCTGCAGGTGCATTCCGAGTTCTTGGGCAAGCATGTCGTAAGCAGCGCTAAATCGTACTACAGATACGACCCCAGCCTGGAGCCGGATCACTGGTTTGAGCCAGTCCAGGTGTGGGAAATCAAATGCGCCGACCTCTCGCTCAGCCCCATACACAGAGCAGCCATTGGGATTGTGGACGGCGAGCGTGGTATCTCGCTGCGATTCCCTCGGTTCATACGAATCCGCGACGACAAGAATAGCGAGAACGCCACGGATGCCAATCAAGTGGCGCATATGTATCAGTCGCAGGATCAGGTCAAGAACAACCAAAAGACGTCCACGCAGATGGAAATGGAGGATGAGTTCTACTGATCGATCGTTTATTTAACAATAAAATCATGTTTTCGTACCGGCCGAGTTGGCACTGTTGCTGCTTTCGGAGGACTTTGAGATGCGACGAGCTTCGAGCTGGCCCTCCTTGTTCTCCTCCTGGGGCTTTGATTTGTTGTTGCGCCGGCCAGAACGCTTGTTTTTCTTGGAAGATTTCTCCTCCACCACAGAAGCCTCGCCGTCCGAACCATCTTTCCCAGCGTTTTGGGGCAGCTCTTCAGATCCAATGCGCGGGATGCGCGCCTTTGGCTGGTAAATGGCTAGCGAAGGACGGTCCTGTCAGATAAAAATATGAGTTTACTTCGATTTATTCGATTTTCAGAGAGGTTTCCGAGAGGAACCAAAACCAACCTTGTTGCGAATACGCCTTTCCTCGGATGCTCGGAGCTGCGCCGCCTTAATGGCATCCTCGGCATTTGTTTCCTGGGAGCTGTCTCCTTCTGGTGGCGCTCCACCGCAAGCGGCTTGTATAAATTTCTTGACAGTATCTGGAACGTCGGTGCTCTTCTTGGATTCTGGCTTTGTATTTTCAGCCTTTGAAGTAGTGGGTCCTGAATCGGGGCCATCCTTTGCTTCAGACTTGTTTTCCTTTTTTAAAATGACAATCTCTTTGTCCTTGGACTGCTGCTTGGCACTCTTGTCCTTGCTGCCGAAAGGTTTTTCTTTGTCCGGCTTACCTTCCACCTTCTTTTTATTCTGCTTGGCCAGCTTGCGCTGTTCGTGCTCCTCTCGGCGCCGCTGATCTCGCTCTGTGCGTCGTTTGGAGCGCGACGACTTGGCCGCATCGCTGCCTTGTGCTGCTGCGGCAGAGACATCCTTGCCATCTTTACCGTCCTTCTTGGCGGGTGGCTTCTTGTTGTCACCGCCCCCGCCCTCCTTAGTTTTACTTCCTTCCGCCTGCTCCACCAGACGTAGTTGCTTTTGCTCCTCGCGCTGCTTGCGCTTCTCCTCGTTTCGCTTGCGAGCCTCTTCCCGGCGCTTTTCCTTCTTGTTGGCCAAGTACTGCAGGAGGGGCGTGGATTTGACCTTCTCATCAGCTCTACGTTCGAAGTTGAAGTCAATCTTGACGTCCCCCAACCGACTTGCCTCCTCCCGCTCGTCGGCCAGCCGCTGCATGAACTCCTGGTAATGGGACTCGCTCTCGATGGTGTTAACCTTGCCCTCATCGTTTCGGGCCCTGTTCTTGAGGAAGCTCTGGAACGGCGCGTACTCCACAATAGCCACGTACTCAACTCCTCGGGTGTCGACGAAGACGTAACCGTCAAAGCGGTCACGGAACTGCAGCACCTCCTCCGGGTCCTTCATCGACATGTCGATGTAGGCGCGGCATGTAGCCTCATGTCCCAGAGACCAGTCCGCTGGGCAGTAGTAGTAGGCGTCATTCTCGGGCAGCGGACCCACTTGGTCCAGGAATTCAGTCTCTGTCATTGTGGGCGGCAAGTGCCGCATCACGATCTGCAAGTTAAGAGCTGTCATTACAAAATACACTCGGCCTGTGCGGTTTGTACAATACCTTGATAACGCGACTGGCTTTGTCCTTCTTCTCCTTGCGCCGATTCACCTTAGGTTTGTCCAGATTGCCTTTCGGCTTTTCCTCGGCAGTAATTTCAGACATTTCCGACGTTTCTCAAAAGTTTGTGTTTACATTCCAACCAAAGGCAACCGATAGAGATGACACTTTCCAGTAGTCTAAATAGAAAATATCGATGGATATATCGATATTTGTCCAGCTGTAGCCACGTCCTTTTAGCTGTTGCTTCCTCTTTCCAAGCACGATCAAGTTATAACAACTTTATGTTCCCGATGAAAAAGGATTCGTTTGGACAAAATGACAACCTTAACTTGCCCAGTGGGGCTGTCTCTGGAGTGCTTTGTGTGCGCCAAGAATAAGGTGCGCGCTGTGCAAGCAATGCGATCTGGCGCCAAAAATTCGACATCGGTAAAAAATAAGAGACTGCTCGAAAAAGAATTCATGACCCCCGAAGTTGTTTGCAAGGGCTGCAAGGTGCAGCGGTATTGCAGCTTGACCCATCTCCTGGAGGACCGCGCGGAACACGTAGACCTGTGCCGGGTGCTAAGAGATCTTTTAACTTTGCAAAAGCTGGAGCACCCGCTACTGCAGCATGGCGTGATCTCGAGCCCAGATCAGTTACAAATGGTCATCTCCCAGCTGAAACTTGTCCTCCGTGTCAAGCTCCGGCGTCCTCTTACTCCGCGGGAGCATCATGTAATCAGCAATCCAGGCATATGTGAGGTGTGCTTTAAAACCGGAGCGCCCCTAAAAGTCTGCAAGGATTGTGCAGGAGTCGCCTATTGTTGCGAGGACCACCGTCACCAGGACGCGAAAAAGCACAGTCCCAAAGAGTGCCGAACTCTAGCCCTGATCTCCAGTCCATTCCGGCAATTTGACTGTTTATTAAACCTAAAAAGCTTCCACCAGTGCGTTGACTTGAGCAGGAGTCACCTGATTGATGCCTTCTTCAAAGCCACGACCCTGAGGATTGATGATAATCCCCAGAACATTGCGGCTTGCTCCTCCTTCAGCGGAATTGCCAGCACGTGTCTGGCTTTAACGAATATTTCCTGGATCTCATATGAGTATAGCGCCGTTATCGTTTACGTGGTGGGAGCCACTGAGGAGCATCTGCGGTACTTTCAGGAGATGCACCTGAGATTCTTCTTTCTGCAGTACCAAAGCATACAAAATTTGGATTTGTACTTCATTGGACCCAATCTTCTGCCTAGAGAGTCTTCCTCCAAGAAGGTCTTTCGATTTCGGGGCCTGTTGCGGACCGTGGTAAAGCATTTCTTCTCTGAGACCTTCACCACCTTCGCGGAAACTATGAAGGTAGATCCCACAGTGATCCTCTTGCTGGAACCCGATTTTATCCACATGGGTACGGCCACGGAGCAACTAGTCAGCCAATTGGTAGGACAAAAGAACGGAGGCGCAGTGGATTTCGATTGGCAGAGTTGCCTGGGAACTCTCCTTCGGACATATGGCGTTCCAATTTGCTACACGTCTCCCACAAGGTTCCAGGCCATGGCAGACTTTACTGCCTTCCACATAATAGCTTTAATTAACAATGTAACTATAGAACGAGTGTACAACATAACCGAGAATCCATATCGGGAAATATTGCCACTGTACAATTTCTCGGACTTGCACAATGAGAGGATCATCTATGCCAACAACTACCTGGAGGTGATCTTCTCGAGTATAAAAAGGGTATAGTATTTGTTTCCAGGACAAGCACGGCAGCTCCGCAGTATTAAATATATATATAAGCATATGTTTCGAACAGGATTTGAAATGTCGCACTTTAATTTAAACATTTTTGGTAATTTTTTAAGAATAAATTGTTTACCTATTTCATAGCCTACGTTTAATAAGTATAAATGCTCAGTTTATCAATGCAGCAGCCACGGACATTACAGCTAAAAGGAAAACGATTACAATATTTTCGGTAGATTGTGTTGGATCTGTGAAGCCAGCCGAGCGCACGGATCTAGAATGTCTTCTTTGAGATGACAACGATTAGGTCGATTAGCCAATAGAACGATTGATGCAGGTCTCCCTCGCACAGATACGGCGCCTTCGTCCAGGACTCTACGCGAAAGCCGCAGTTCTCCAGCAGCTCCATGAACCGGCTGGCCTCTTCCTCGAACGACGTCTGCCGCCCGGTGCTCTCAAGGAGCGGGCGCAGTGGTAAGTGCGAGGTGTTCGTCTCGACGTAATGCATGTATGGAAGTACTAAGGCCACCACGGCTCTGCCATTGGGAGCGAGAGAAACGTGTATATCCTCCAGCAGCTTGAACGAATCAAAGCACCGATCCAGCACGTTGAGGCACAAGATCAACTCTACGTTCTGTAGTGCGCCAATTTCGTTGATTACGTTGAAATTCAGCTTCTTCAGCCGATCCCGCATGGTCCAGCTGGCCTCCGTGGCAAACACCCGGAGACCGGCACTGCCACTCAGCTCGGCAACGGTGTTTGCAACCCGCAGCGAAATCTCGCCATCCCCAGCGCCGATGTCCAGTAGCGTCACCGGTTCAACGGCAGATGCTGGTGAAAAGCCGCCCGCCACGAGCAGTTTGTGGAACTGCGCCTCCGACAGGATGAACATAGAGCCCCTTTTCAGAAAGCCATTGATGTCGGTCTGCGTCATAAAGAACTGGAGAATGGATCTTGCCAGGGAGTGCCACAAGTGGGTCCAAATGTTCGCCGAGAGGGCCTTTGCTCTTTCCAGCCAACCCAACGTTGTCGCGTCCGGCTCGAGGGCCACGAACTTGACCTGGAAGTGCTGGGGCAGGTCGTAGGCCAGGGAATACCACTGAAAGGCACGAAAAGACACATGAAACTGTAGCATATAACAAGAACAGGAACCAAATGCAAACCTTTCTGGTGTCTATGTTTTCCAGAGAGTTATCATTGTGGAACTTTGCGTGGATGACGCGGGCTAGAGTTCCTCGGGGACGATAAACAGCCATATTTTCTCATTTATTTACATGTTCTAGCTAAGTAAATACAGTTAGTTGGAATTTAGTGGGAACCCGGCCGATAACCTAGAGCTGGCACTCCCGATAGTTCATGGACTATCGCAATAGCAAAACTAAAACATGTAAGTGCAGCCAAGCGAAGAATATTTCGTTAAAGTCAAGGGCATCATTTATATTTTAAAATGTAAATTATATTTTTAAATGACAAGGGATGTTTCTGGTCAACCAGTTGGAAATACAGGTTGCGATAGTTTATCAGCTATCGATAGTGAAATACAGTTATGCGATAGTATATCTGCTATCAAAAGTTAAAGAATAAAAACATTATTTTCATGCTAGCTATTGCTTGTAATTGCTGAGAATTGCTAACCAAAAATATTTACTTTTTAGTTGTCTTGCATAAGTTAAATTTTAAGGCAATCCAGAAATAAATTAAACTCAATTAGGCAACCCGTCTCCGACCGTTTTGTGTGGTGTTCGATAAATCTTGGGCCTACGACACACGTCCACATTTTTTACCAGTCGGAGTAATGTATACAAAAATAAGCGGCGGCTGCTAATTTTTTGTTATTTTAATGAAACACAGTAGATGGAAATGAGTACAAACGTTGTTGTTGTTAGCATGGACGAGAAGGCGGCGGGCGACGACCTTCCGTACTTTCCGGAGAAGTTTCCGGGCAAGGTGTGCTGTTTATGCAACCTCGGGGAAAAAAGTGCCTTGGGACAGGGGACGATTCTGCAGCTGAAGGCGCCAGCGGACCTCAGAGATAAGTATCCCACCGATCGCATCAAGGAGGACGGATCCAGGCTGTACTATGGCCAAAAGCAAACATCATACGGTGCGGGCGAGTGCCACTACGAACTGGACAAAATTGGCCAGCCGGAGATCGTGCATCCCGCCGATTTTGTTGACGAGGGATTCGTTTACGTGCACCGAATGTGCATAATGTGGTCGCTGCGCAAGAGCCAGATATCCGATGCGGACGCCACGTACTTTGCGAGCAACTTTGGCGAGTTCATGGAGCAAAAGTGCAATTTCTGCGGCCAGTACGGAGCCTCCATCAATTGCAAGATGAACTGCCGCCAGGTGCACCACTGGCCGTGTGCAGCTGCCGCCGGCTGTCTGCTCATATTAGAGAGCTTCACGGTGTTCTGCACGGAGCATCTGAGCCAAGTGCCGGTTATATGTATGTATATCCATTCATTGAAATATAAATAGTTAATTATGCCTTTTGGGCACTTGCAGGTAGCGATAATAATGTGGAGTGTGTGACGTGCTCCTCCCTGGGCGACCTGTCCAAGCTGATCATGTGCAGCACTTGTGGGGATCATTCCCATTCAACCTGCATCGGACTGGCCAATTTGCCAGGTAAGCCAGAGCATCTACCTCACTTTTAACAAGACTTACTATATCTTTTTTGTACGTGTAGACACACGTTCTGGCTGGAACTGTGCTCGCTGCACGAAATGCCAGATCTGCCGGCAGCAGGACTCAAATGACCTCAAGTATGTGAAATGTGAGCAGTGCCAGAAGATCTATCATGCATCCTGCTGGCGACCTGTTATTTCGGCCATTCCCAAGTACGGCTGGAAGTGCAATGTGAGTAGCGAGCGGCTGAAGCGTGAAAAGTGTCTAAAAACCCTTCGCATTTTAGCGTTGTCGGGTCTGTACGGACTGTGGCTCGCGAACTCCTGGCGGCGGCAGCTCTTCCCGCTGGCATAGCCACTATACGATCTGCGATTCGTGTTACCAGCAGCGAAACAAGGGGTTTTCCTGCCCCATCTGCCAGAAAGCTTATAGAGCAGCATCCCACAAGGAAATGGTCAAGTGCAGCTGGTGCCACAAGTGAGTATGACTCACCCAAGACTCGAATAACAACTTAACCCACTGATGTCCCCCTCCTAGATTCGTGCATAGCACTTGCGACGAAGAGGCCGACCTGACGGCCTATCACAAAAAGAAGGAGCAGAATCCAGACTACGACTATGTGTGTCCGAACTGCAAGAGCAACTCCTCGGGCCCGGGTCAGACGCACCAGGCCATTGACTCGATTGTCCTCTCCGTAATGGACCATCCGACGGCAGATCAATTGAGCCTTCGGGAAATCGATATTGATCCGCTGGAGGGCAGGCCCAACATTGATCCAATCGGCGATGAAATCCAAAAGCTGCCCACGGGCAAGAAGAAGATGTGCCTCTCCAGTGTGCGCGGAAAGAGCGGCAAATTTGTGCTGCAGCGCATGGGTGTCCTGTCGCAGATGAGCAAGAAACGGAGCACGCGTGGCAAAGGACGCCTAGCAGGCACGTTGACCAACATCTCGAGCGACCGCTGCGTGAATCGCAGCATGGACACCGACCTCACCAGCGACAAGAAAATGCTGTTATGCTCGGCGCGGGACAAGTTCATACTGAGCCAGGACATCTGCGTGATGTGCGGATCCTTGGGCATCGAGAGCGATTCCGTAATGATCACCTGTGCCCAGTGCGGCCAGTGTTATCATCCGTATTGCGCTGGGGTAAAGCCCTCTCGCGGCATCCTGCAGAAGGGCTGGCGCTGCTTGGACTGCACAGTGTGCGAGGGATGTGGCAAGAAGAACGACGAGGCGCGTCTTCTCCTCTGCGACGAGTGTGACATTTCGTATCACATCTACTGTGTAAACCCGCCGCTAGAACAGGTGCCCTCCGGCAATTGGAAGTGCTCCTTTTGCACGCTGTGTCAGAAGTGCGGCCGCAACCCCACCGAAAAGAGCGAGTTCGGCGACTCCAACCAGCCCGAGTGTCCGCCCTGCGCCAGCCAGTCGGCGTGTCCGTTGTGCAAGAGCTCCTACAGCAGCGGCGAGATGATCATCCAGTGCGAGCTCTGTGAGCTGTGGTCCCACTTCCTCTGCGACACCATCAACGCTCAGCTGACTATCGACTATTACGACAATAATGTGTACAAGTGCTTGAAATGCCGCTGCGCGGTGAAAGGCGGCGGCCCGTTGGCTCTGATGGATGCCAAGGCGGGAAACGAGGACGGTGTCCTCACGGGAAAACCATCGGTTGGTCATTTCACCCAGGCCCCTGGCGATGTCAAGAGTCACCTCGCCTTGCCTAGCGATCTTCCAGAGACTGCTCCAGAGGCGATTCATTGGATCGATGGCGTGTGCCTTAGCGAAAGCGGCCTGAGCATGATTAAGTCCTTGTCCACGGAGATCAAGCGGAAGCGCAAGATGCGACAGACCGTTGGCAATGGCAAGGACGGACAGGAAGCCGCTGAGGCGGAAGCGCAGTGCGAGAAGTACAAGGATGGCATGGTCTGGGATGGGACGGAGAACCCCATTCCCGAGGGTTTCACCATATCCACCAACGACGAGGGCGTGCATATCTTGCGCAAGAAGCGTCAGCGAAATCTACAAAAACTGGGCATCGGCGGCTTCTCGGTGCGCAATCGCGGCCTGAAGAAGGACACCGAGGAGGCGGCGACCGCCGATCATCATCAGCTGAACTCCACCATGATGAGCATGGACAAGAAAAAGAAGATTATACGGAAAAAACAAAAGAACAAGCTCATCGAGGCCTATCCCGTATACTTGCAGGAGGCCTTCTTCGGCAAGCCCCTGCTGGAGTCCGGAGAGCTTGTAATGGGCGAATCTGATTCCTCTGACGAAATCGACGCCTCCATGAAGGTGTATTTCACGCGGCCCGAGGGCAAGAGTCCCGACCATGAGACCAAAAGCCCGGCCAAGACGGTAAAGAAGGTCAAGACTGAAAAGGCGGTGCCAGTGCCTTCGGATAACAAGACGGCGGCGGCAGTCGCCATTGAGCAAATGCCCATGACAATCCAGCAGAAAACAGTATCCAATGTTTTTGGTAATTATATCCACAATTCTCAATAAATTATTTATTTTTAATTCTTAAATTCGCTTTCAGATCCCTCACACAGCGAGGTTCTGGCCAGCCGGCATCCTTTGGATACCTTGGCTTCGCCGAATATCTCGGAACAGGACGTGACAACCGCCGCCAGCTCGATGAGTTTGGTTCAGACTGCGGATATTATTGAGAAACCAATGCGGTAATACAATTATTTCAATATAATAAATATAAATATAATATTTATTCAATTGCAGAGATTCGCCCGTAGTCCTGGTCGACAATTACATGGTGCCCCAGCAACAGTTGTCCCAGGATCAAGGTCAAAAGTTCCACAATCAGATATACTTGCCGGGGAATATCGCCCCCCAACAGATTCACCATTTCCATCAGCAACAACAACAACAACAACAGCCAACGGACCATCTGAGTGCACAAAACAAACAGAAAATGCAGGGCATGATAATGGGTCAGGTGGTTATGCAAGGGGAGAAGCGGGGTCCCGAGGAGGAGCAGCCCAAGATGGCAGAGCCCGTTGTGCCGGTTGAGAACATGAATGCCGGCACCCAAAAGACGGCCGAGAAGATGCGCAAGGATGAGGGTAAGGACTGCGGTTCCGCAATTAAATAATATCATCATGCGTTTATTTATCTTCCACAGACCTCGGCCTGATGGCCACCATTTCCGCCGTTTTGTATGCAAACACCGAGCATCCGAACCTGAAAGAGTTGTTCCCGAACTGGAACGATCGCTGCAAGCAGATTTTAAAGCGGTGGCGCTCACTGTGCAATGAAAAGAAGGCTCCATTCCTGCAAAAGGCCAAGGACAACCGTTCGGCATTGCGGCAGAGGCGAGAGCAAAATAAGATTCCGGCGCCGCCAGCACCAAAGCCGCAGAAGCAGGAGGAAATGGCCAGAGTGTGGAAGCAGCAGCAGCAGCAGCCAAAATTGAAGGAGGATCCGAATCAAACGAATATGTTTGTCACTTACAGTAAGTTAAAACTTTGCTAAAATACCCCTCCTTTGTTAATGTCACTCCCTCTGTTTCAGATGGCAATGCCTACGACATGGCGGCCACCTATGGTGGCCCGGTGGCGCAGCCAACTGCCAGTAATCCGCACCATGTGATGCCCAATATAAACGATAACTTGGTCTCCAAGGCCACGACCATCCAAAGGACAGCGACAGCCGTTCATGCCACTGCAGCCACCGTTTTGAAAATGGACAATCGCTTGGAACTGAATTCGGTGTATGGGTCCGAGCACATCGGCGATAAGAAGCTCAGGAATCTGCTGCAGAAGAACAGCGCGGAACCGATGCTAATGGGAGCGAACTCTGATTTGTTCCTTCCCAACGATGTCATGAGGCTGGGCGGCATGATGCAACAGAATCACACGGCCATCACACAGAACAATCCAATGTTGAGCATTAGTGGAAAGGCGCAGCCGTCGGAAGGCAGGGCCTTGGATCAGGACGTAAAGATGAACGAGCCGCCGGAGGGCACATCCGCTGCCTCGGTTGAATTGGAGAATGTTGGCTTTAGTGACCTGCTGGGCGGCCTCGGAGAAGGCGACGACGATGATCTACTGAAATCGCTTACCTCCGAAATGGGCGATGACTTTAATATCTTGGAGTATGCGGATCCTGACCTGGATGTGAATGTCCTCAACTCGCTGGACTTTGATGATAATGAAAAGTGTTCTACGTAGACAGAAAGCACCTGCACCTGAATCTGATTAAATAGAAATAAAGAAGGCAATATTTAATAATACGACACGCTTGTATCATTTTAGCGTTTATTAAAATAATAAGAAAAGTCGAAGGATGTGAAATAAATTTGTGAGAGCTAAACTAAAAAGTCGAACTATGGATTTTCATTAAACTGGTCTGTCTCTCTTAAAATATGAGAAACAAGAAAGAAAGAAACAAAATTATAAGTAAAACCAGTTTAGGGTTTAAAACTGGCAGAGATTTACCGCCGATCACCGATATCGGTTAATATCGATTTGTGATTTCTCATTTTGATTCACGGCGAAGTTGTACGCTTATTACCTTTTCACTTTCTTCAAGAAGAGTTGGGAAAGTAAAGCCAAATATGAACTGTTTTGGTCTTTCGCACACACTTTATATTATTTACTTGCTACAATTTTTAGTTAATGGCACTCATTCACGACTTAATCTTAAATATGCCATCTTAAAGCAAACACAAACTTCTAGTTTACAAAACGACACTTTTGGTAGGCATCGAAGAAAGTTTTCACCAGGCCTCTCTCTACATCACATCTGAAAATATATATCTTAAAAGCTTATCGACAGCAGACCAAATATGATGTCCAAAAGACAATGCGTGTTATTTTTTATACGAACAACACAAAGACTATGGAGGCATCAGCTTTTGACGATAAGTACGACCTCAAAGGTTCTGGCTGCTCGACCTCGGACAAGTTTGCCATAGTTTTGCACGGCTGGATTCAAAGCTGCTCTGACGAATGGGCCACCTCCCTCATTGAACGTAACGTATCATACTTTAATATTTAATTATTTTATACATTTAATATGGATTTCCAGGGCTCAGCTATTACCGCGGCGGATGCGTGATATGCATTGATTACAGTGTGGTGGCCAGTTTATCATATATGAGGTAAGCATGACTTGTATTACCAAATAAATTGATAAATTGATTGTAAATCCCGCCAGGTTGTATACGAACTTCGACACCCTCACCGGAGCCATAGCATCGATTATATTGACACTAATTAGGCAGGGATTCGATCCCAAGCGAGGTTACATGTTTGGTTTTAGCTTTGGCGGGCAACTGGCCTCAGCCGTAGGACGTTCGCTGTGGCCCCATCATATTATCGAAAGCATAGATAGTACGTATTTCGATGCACTGCCGTTAATAATAAACTAACAACTCCATTAGCCTGCGACATGGCCGGACCTGGTTTCGATCCCATTGCTGTGGACCACTCGAAGGCCGGCAGACACGTGCAATGCTTCCATTCCAGCCGTGACAAAGGCACCTTTGTGTACTCCTGCCACCGCAACATTATGCTGGGCAGCTGCGGCCTCAAACAGCCCTCGGTGGCCAGCCAACTGCATTTGGGCAGCCATGGACTCTGCGTGGATATATACATCAATACCTTTGATTATCCCTTTTACGCTTTGAACGCCACGCCCTCCGAATGCTGGTCCTTGCAGAAGGCAGCAAAGATACCGGAGGGTTACACGGTGGGATACGAGGAGAACTACGATAGCCAAATCACGGGGCAAATCTTTGTACCAACTAGTCTGCATTATCCGTACAATTTGTCCAAAAAAGAACTGCTCAGGCTGTTGGCGAAGAAATGATTCCTATTGTAAATATTGCCGCCAAATGATGGATTCACTTTAAAATATCTCGTGTGATTTATTAGATTTCAGCTCATACTTGTTTTTGCAGTGTAGTAGTTTGAATTCACCAAAAATATATGTCAAATCAAATTTGAATTATATATTATATACACTTTATAGGTAAACACCAGCTATGTATTCATGCATAAGCCTACTGATTGGGGCAGTCATTGGGCGACTGCTTCTTGTTGCCGCCGGGAGCTTTGTTCTGACTCTTTGCTGGCGGGGCATCATCCTCGTCATACTCGTCCTCCTCGTTCTCGTCGAACTCCTCCTCATCCTCGTCATCCTCATCATCGACGATGTCGCCGGTGAAGTAAAGCACTGCTTTTGGAATAATTCTGGCGCGCAAGAAGTGACCAATTTCGAAATCGGTGGCCAATATCTGGGGGAATTATTCAAATATGATGAAAAAGAGCCACTGAAACTGCGACTGCTGCCAGCTTACCTGCTGAGATTCGTCATCGATTTCCTCTTTGTCGGTTGGAACCTCGGGGGGATTGAAGAAATTGAAGAAGGAATCGGTTGGGACCTGCTTGACAATGGTGCGCACAGCGCCGCGCTCCTTATGCTTCTGCTTCTTCCTGATGGTCTTCACCGTCAGGTTCATCTTCTTCTCCCAGTTAATGTTGCAGCCCTACATATGTAAACACATCGATTACACAGGGCTCAAAGGGAGCAGTCTAGGCAAGCTACATACCGTGCACTTGTAAATCTCAGGTCCTTCGAATGCAAACGGATCGTCGGGATCGACCGTCGATTTCAGGACGTACTGTTTTGTGAGAACCGAGTTTGTGAAGAACTCATTCTTATCGAAATGGAACTCCAGGGTGTACGAATGCTGGAGAAGAGTGACAGCCGGTTAGCAAGGAAATGCAGTATGGAGCAGAGAGTTACTTACCCCATCGACGTATTTAATGGATATATCGGTCAGCTTGCGCATTACTGGCTCGTCATGGGGTTGAACCATCTCGGAAAGAATCGCCGTATTGCGGAACACGGTTAGCCAGAAGCCGGGGATGCCCTTGGCGTCCTGTGGAATACTTTTGAAAGCCTTGAGGGAATCAAGGAAGGGCTCGATATCGGCCTCGTTGTCGGTCGCATGCTCCGGCTCCTTCCAGTTGGGCTTCTCCGTGGCAGGATCCACCGTGCCCTCGACGACCTCCTTGCGCTTGTCGAACAGCGGTTGATATTTGAGCTGGTACTTCTGCTCCAGCTTGTACACCTCTTCGAAGAACTCGGCCTCGATTTTCAGGTGCTCCAATTGCAGATTCTTCAGAAACACAATTCTGTTTTGAATCGGAGCGGGCATCGCCTTTACCATTTCCTGCAAGTACTGACGCCGCAGCACAGAGCTCATGTACGCGGGCCTGCGGGCGGGTTGCCAATTAATAATTGTTAGTGCTGCCCTTGCTGCGAATGTCGTCACCATCACTACTCACATATTCTGGCAGTCAGAGCCAGACTTCTCGTCTTCGACCTCATTGCAGGACTCGGTGTCCACGTTTCCCTCTGGCGGAGCGTCCATTATACGGTAAATGCGGATTTCACTGGAATGCAACAGAAATTCACGTTAAGCAAATGCCAATTTAGGGCGCATTTCTGCAAAAATTTTCGATGATGTACAGGCTTGCACTCGCATATGTATGTACATACATAAGTATTCGGGGAATTGCATCAGTAAAGGAGTCTCATACCCAAGGGCCGTGCAAAAACCGAATTACATGCACACATACATACTTATTTATACAACTAAATACTATAATGCCAGCATTTTCACAGACGTAGGGCCGTTATAAAAACTAATACGCCATTCCGGCCCATGCACAATACGTACATATATACATACATACGTATGTACTTATATGTATGTTCGCAAATTACCACACATTGCGTTCTTGGAAAACACGTGGTGGTGCAAACTCGCCTTCGGCTTTGGCGGAATTAGCTGCCGTCTTCCGCTGGAATCTGGCAGGGCGTACACTATTTGGGCGGCCAACAAACTGCCCTTTCAACGGGGTTTTATTCACACAGAATTGTTTAAAATTAACAACTAACCTTCAATAAGAACTGCGACACGATGAGCGAACGACGCCGAAATTTTTTGAAAAGGTGGTCCGTTAGAGGTGGAGAAACATCGATGCATCGATGATTTACCACATTTTGGAAACATCGATATTGGTTGGGCACTATCGATATATTTGATAATCGTATTTAAAAATGTTTTACCTCTTGTACTTTTACCTCTAGGAACTGGGGAAAATGGGGACTACATCAACGAAAAACTAAAACTTACGAGAAACTTTAAAAGTGTTTCGAACGGGAAACTATATTTATCATATATGGAATGGGGAATGAACCTACCCAAACAAAAGAAAAAAAAAAAATATTTTTGTATAAATTTAACCATTTATTTATAATTTTTTCTTAACCATAGTAGGACTAATAAAAAAATAATAGTTGTTGAAGTTAATTTAATTTTTAAATCAACCTATACATTTTCGTAAAATTTTTAAATTTTTTAAACATAACATCGGATTTATTATAACTACTTGATTGGCATAAACCTGTTTAAACGGTTTTTCAAAATTGTAAAAAAAAGGAAATTGAAAGGGAAGTGATCAAAACCGTACTCTTCTAAAGTTAAGTAGAGCCCTAAGGCAGTCCAATGAAGAAAATAGGATTTTAATTTAAAATAATAGGCTTGAAAGGCAACATTTATGTGTATATACATATGTACATAACAACAAAGAGATGAGATTAATTTCTTTAATGTATGTTTATGTATATTGTATGGTATATTTCCTATTAATCTGGTGTCTTGATAATGCGGTGGTAAATCGAGAATCAGTCCATTAAAAGCACTTGCCTCGGAATATACACACATATAATTATCATGGAAATATATTTTTTATTTACATATATTTCCTTCGTTCTTTATGGATCCATTGCTGAGCCCCACGGTAATAAATCCTTGTGTCTGCTGCAGGATCCTCCAAGTCAATGCGGGCCATTCTGTCTTACGGCCCTGAAGCCAATGATGGATCACATTGCCATTCACCAGCAGGAGTGGAGCCCTTGCGATGCTGCAAAGGTAAACGAGACCCAATCGAAGCTGGACAGGATAGGAGAACAGCAAGCTTCCGTGACGGAGACCTTATCCAAACTTGAGACGTCTATACAAGTCAATAATACTGCTTGGAAGAAGGACTTTGAATCAAGGCTGGAGAATTTTCAGTCGCAACAAAATAAGTTGGAAAGCCAAATTGCTCTTATACTAGAGGATCTATCAAGGATATCTAAAAAACTTACCCTTATGAAGTTTAAGCTAATAGGCACAACATATTTCTACATTGAGGACAGTATAGAGCAGTCCTGGATTTCTGCTGAACGTTCCTGTGGCGAGATGGGCGGCCACCTGGCGAGCTTCCAAAACGAAGAAGAATTTGATGCCATCCAAGGTATGCTCGGGTATAACCGATGGTACTGGGTGGGCATCAATGACCGAGATAGAAGTGGCCAATACGTGTCTGTGGCCTCAGGGAGGCAAGCACCCTATTTGGAATGGGGGTATGGCGACCCGGATGACAGGGATCACAGTCACAATTGTGTCCTTATAGGTAGACGAAAAATGTGGGATTCCGGATGCAACGACAAGAATCTTTTTATTTGCCAGGCAGACGATAAATTCTAGTTAATAACTAAAAACAATAATCTTCCTGTATATCTTTAAAAATGAAATAAATAACAAGAAATTAAGCTAACTTCCGGAAAACGATGTTATTATTTGAAAGTGAACTGAAAAGCAATTATAACTAAGCTTTTCTTATTTTTCTCAATATTATACCTTTAAATAATTAAAATCTTAATGGCGAATTGAAATAACTACGCCTTTTAAAAATTCCTTGCAATTTTGAACGATGAAATCCCTTAAATTATATTTATAAAAAGTGGGAATATTTTTATTTTTTAACGAACATGGTCAGATCGATACAGACAAAAATGATAATTTTATACAATTACACATACATATGTATATGTACATAAGTAAATAAAACAAATGAAAGAGCGCGGACCAGGGCTGGGACAAACAAAAAACGAGCGAGGTGCCTTCTGCCAACCCAACAGACAGTTTCTCCGCGTTTAACTTTCCGATTTCGGTTTCCTATCGATTGCTCTATTTTCTAATAAACAAAAAAGGTTTAAATTAACCTTTTTCTTAAAATATGTTGAAATACATAAAGAAAAAAAACATTATTTATTTATTTGATTATTCTATGATATCCGTTATACAAATATTTGTATGAAGCATAAATATACACGGATATATTATGATTCTTAAAAATCATATAAATTATACATTTAATAAATTAGAATTTCTAAATATTAGGAATAACTTATGTAATGTAAACAGCTGAAAAACGAAACGAAGGCCAATCACTTTAAGTGATTTTTAACTCCAAACGATTGTTTTCTATTATTACTTTTATCGATATATATACAAATATAAATTATTTGAATAAAATAAAAATAAACTTTTTAAAAAGGTTGTCTTACACATTATTTACACAAAAATATATGCTTAAACATTTAAAAGCTGTATATAAAACACGATTTGATCACGGTCTTTCATGGATTTCATTACAACTATCGCATATGCACTGCAGCCCTATGTAAATTTTAAGAACTCTCCACATAGCGAATTTTAAAGTGTTTTGCATATTTAGCCATGGCTGTTGTTAATTCGACAATAATATTCATGCATTTACCAGACAAAAGAATAGATTTGTCAAAATGTCAAAGAAAAAAATTGTTGGTAAAATACCATAAGTTTCCGCCAATTTTGTTTGCAAATACATTTAGTACTTGATGAAATATTTTCAATAAATCTTCAAGTTGGCAACATGCTATTCGTATTTACATATAAACATATTTATTTATGTATGTTTGTAACACACATAGTTCGCGGGCGTTTTTTAACTGCTTTATAAACTTTGCACAGAAACAGTAATTTCGTGCGTTCACAAATGCCGAAGGAGAAATTATCATAAAATGGTATCATGGGAATTAGGGTGCTAATTGCAATAAATATATCACTGGCGGATTGGTTTTCCAAAATACAATCGGTATTCATGCGTCCCCTATGCGTTACATTTGATTTCAATTACACTTTTCATTAATACAACAGTCTTTCCCCCAACTCGCGATTCCAAAGTATATACAGTGGAAAATCATTTTGTATTACTCATGCGCCTTTAATATGATAGTTTTATTTTATTCGTACAATTGAAAAGTTCACTAATAATAAGCTGGAGAGGAGGAGCAGTTAATAAATTTCACAAAAAAAAAGCAGAGCAGAAAGGACGTGTTAGTTAGCACACAGTGGATCGTCGGTGATTTGCGAGTTCAAGGCGCTTGCTCAAGTAAATGGAATAAAATTCGTGCTGTGTCTGGGGCTGCGCGTAAACATTACATTTTCCCCCCGTATCAGAGGCATTCCCGATGTACATTGGCGTATGTATGAATGTGTGATTGTGTGTCTCTTGTTGGGGACTGCTTCTCTTTGGGCCGCAGGCTGACCCACGGATCGAACAGAACCCTTTAATCCATCAATGTTAGATAATATGCGCGATTCCAGTCATCCTTTGCATACATATCTACATTTGTACATCGTAGATATAAATGTATCTGCATGCAGTTCTTTGTGTACTGGCCGTGTAGATATGTTAATCTGCGGAATGATGTACATATGCAGGTGCAGCGAACCCCAATCGATGAGTACAGATTTAAGAACTTATCAATGAGCCCCCCCACTGGAGCTCGTTTTCGGGTCAAGCCGAGATGAGAACTGATCTCGATAAGCTCTCTCTCTCACTCTCTTGGCCGTGTGTACATACATATTTGCAGCCAAGAGTCGTCGTCCCTGTGTATCTACATGGACTTTAAGTGATAGGGAATTGAGCAACCTCTGATTTCCCCCCCCAAAACTTGCTGTGGCTGCATGACTAAATGGTATATGCATGTTTGTTTTGGTATTTATTTTCCCTTTATCAGTGGCGCGCTATGCTAAAAAATACAGTGGCGCTGAGTGTTGTTCGCACTCGGGCAGGATTTCATGCAGTCAGCTGTTTAAAATGTATCCGCCCATAAAGCGGTTATATAAAAGGTTGTATCTTCTTTATCTGCCAATATATTTTTTAGGTAGAAACATGCTATTTCCCGGTTATATAATCAAACCCGTGACATAACATAACGCCTGAGAATAAGCAGTACCGTTATCTTGTGCTCACAACCAGAGTGTAAACCGATAATCGCAAAAAGATCGAAAAACAACTTTTTATCTGACCTGAAAATGGAGCATAACCTGAAGGTTTGCTTTTTGGTTAAGTCATCTTAGCAGAATTAGTTTGTGTTAGTTGGTCATGTGGTAATATACTACTAATATTATGCAAATAATGTGATTCGGCCTCCCGGAACTAACGGTATCTTCGATCACGGGTTATCAAATGCAAGGTGCGGCAGATATAAAAGGAAAAAGAAAGTATGAAGCCTTTATGCTGCTTTATCAGATATATCCCATTCTAAACCAAAATGGAATTATTATCGCCGGGAAAATAAATGACCTGACTTAACAGTTTATTAGGTTTGGAGTTTACGTGTTTCTGGTATCGTCGGGCATGCCTTTGATCGTTTTGATTTTTTTTCGTTTGATTTCTGATAAGAAGTGTTTATATTAATGACTATTCGTCTCCCTTCTAGAGTGCCTTAAAATAACAAATATGCCAGATAGATTTCAAGTCACAAAAGCAGACGAAGACACCGTATTGGACTATCAACAGGATGAATCAGCGAGTGGAAAACTTCTCGGCGACATCCACGATGAAACGCTAGGTGAGTTCATTTTTAGGTTCCTTTTCGATTATATTATAATTAATTTAAAATAGTAATGTACAAGAGGTTATACCATTTCCAATGTGAAGTTTGAAACTGGGAAAATATGCCACTTTAAGGACTTTTTCCTAAGCTGTAGCTTCAAGTTGATTTAAAACAGGCTGCTTAGATTTTGACCCTCTATCGAAAGACTACTGTAGTGGCAGATATAGAGCTTATGGGCCTGCAATTCAATCCTGCGCTGCCCCAATTTGTAAAAGTCCTGGATGCCCTGCTGACACATTTCCTCGCAGCAGCTGTAAGGCAAAGCTCCCTTTCCTTGTACCTGTGGAAAGCTCCTAGCGGGAGAGAGAGCCCAGGCAGAGCAGCTTTTGCCTTTCCAGCGGATGCTGGGCGAGAGTGCCGTGCTGCTGCTGGGCTGCTGGATGTCCTGGCCAAGTGGTGGGCCAAGGAATGAATATACACCTGCACTGTCGCTCTCGGCTTCCGCTCTCGCTCTCTCTCTCACTCTCTCGGTGGCTGGAGGAGTCTGTGTGTGTATTAAGAATGTGTGTAGACGACAAAAGCTTTCGATTTCATCTCAATTGAACGAACGCTCAGGGTCCTGGGCAACATAATTTTTATTCGGCCGAATACCAACAGTTTTTCTTAGTTTTTCTATTAATCCGAACGAAAAGTAGCATACATCTGAGCGTTTTCGCTCTCGCCTAACATAATTTTTGGAAAGAATCTTCTTTCGAATAATACAAAACCAAAAATAAAATAAAATACAAAAATAACAAAAAAAAAAAAAAACATGAAAAGCGACTTCTTTTTGAGCACCTTTAACATATAACAAAACCATACTTTAACAATCGACGAAATTCTAACAATAATCAAATACATACATGGATAAAAGTGCGTTCAATTACCAACCAAGTGTGTGCTGTCCCCGGAATCCAAAAATCACAATCGGATGACGAACTCTAGACTGTTTTTCCCTGCATTCCCCTGCAAAGGCGTTGAGCTATTCATTTCGTAACAATTTGCTGCTGCAGCCTCCGTCTCTGCTCTTTTCCGTTTCATTTTTCTGTTTTTTTTTTTTTTTTTGCTGCCGCATTACGGCAAAAAGTAAGACTACGACGACGCCTATTTACCGCCCCAAGATGTCGGGCTTTGAAAATCCTTGACCTAAATTAATCGGTTACATACTTTTTTTTTGTGCCAGGCCTGAGCTGCTGGCACAACTTTCGTGGCTGCGAGTGCACACAGCATCCCCCTTTCAGCAGCATCCCGTTTCCTGCTCATTTAAAATCCACACTCACCTCTGGAGCTACCCGGGGGAGTTCCCCCGCTCAAAAGAAAAAAAAAATCCATTCCTTGCCCAAAGTCCCAAATCTCGAGTGTGTGTAGCAGAGATATGTGCGGGATATATACACTGCCGCCGAATCGGCCACGCCTTACGGTTATATAATGCTAATGCAGATGAAATATGTGCAGAGTTCCCATCCGAGTCCCCTTTAAGCTATGGCCATTAAGTAAATTCTCGTTCGCATTCCACATCTAGTGTTACCTAATTTTAAGTGAGAAAAGTGCAATATAGAGCCCAGAGTTTGAAGCCAAACACACAACGTTAACATGCAAAGTAACAAAGATGCAAAAGATGATTCGGATGAAATGGAAATAATACCATCCGAACACAATGGTACAGTTCACGACACAAAAAATGAAGGTAGCGCGAATCAGTAATTAATAATATTCTATTAATATTCCTAACAATTAGGACTCCTCATTTTTTAAGCACCCTTTATTAAGTTTATTGGT